GGGGCGCACTCGGGCCCCAAAGCCATGACAGTGTCCCCAGCTCTGCCTCCACACAGAGGTTGGACGGGGCTTTGGGCACAGTAAGGTCGGGACCCGGCTGCTTCCTAGCTGGCTGCTGGGCTGGGCACCCCAAGCACGGCCGGCATGCCACATTCAGGATTCGGCTGCCTGCCTGGGCTCTGCACACAGGCAGCTCAGGGCTCATCCACCACAGATAATTTGGGCCCGTGACACTCTGGGGCTTGGGTCGGGTCCAGCAGGCACTACCTGAGCCGGGAAGTTGGGAGGTTGGGCTGGAGACACGGCTCGACGCTGTCCTTGGCAGCACGGAGAGACCCACGGGTTATGTTCTGATATAGCAAGGTCAAATGATCCTATAGCACACGCGGGGCCTCGTTCCCCCTCCTTTGTTCCTCAGCACTCGCCACAATCCCCAGAGCCTGCCCAGTCTCCCTGGGCTGCTATGGATAAGCAGCCACAGCCCCCAAGCGTGCCAGGGCTCCCCAAACTCAAGCCAAAGGGGACCGTTCCCAAACCGGCGGCAGGACAGGTCACTGAGCCATGCAGCATTTCTGCATGGAAAAAGCAGGAGCGTGTCCCACTGCCGGAGTTGTTACCCCGGCTCTGGAGCTGCAAAGGACCTGGCAGGTCACTCTCGTCTCTCACAAGTGTGCAGGATGTTATTTATCTCCCACTACAGCCAGAGCACCTACCAGGAGAGCTCCAGGTCTGAGCTCTGCTCCCGGGATTGCCCTCGTCTCCGTGGGGAGGGAGAGGGACCCAAAACCATCTCCTTACCCAGGCTGTCTGAGCTCTGCTCCCGGGATTGCCCTCACCTCCATGGGGAGGGAGAGGGACCCAAAACCATCTCCTTACCCAGGCTCAGGAGGTGCCCATTTCTCTCCCTCTGCCAAAGCAGCCTGTGGGGAGCGGTTCCCATAGAGATCCACGGTTACTTAATGCCTGTACCTTATCTAATTAAAATTAGTGATTATTAGCCCCCAATAATGCTTCAATACAGGCAGGTCATATAAGGGCTAGTAACAATTTGTGAGCGGGAGGCAG